AAAAAAAAAAAAAACACTATAACTTTTAGATATTTAATTTTATACTATACATTTCTTTACAGAATTTTATGATACTTTTAATTTTATATTTTATTCAAAAATAAAAACATTATCGTTTTTTCAATACTATATAAAATTGTATTATAACATCAAGAAAAACAAAATAAAACAAAACATTAAAATCAAAATATATCTCGTTATATTGTATGAATATCATTCTAGTACTAAAAAAATATTCACTAAAACAAAGATTGAAGGATCGCCAAAAGCTTTCTATGAACAATCACATCAAAAGTTTTTTCATGAACCGACATATGCATTCTATATCGTTATAAAAAAAGTTTATCCACATTCATCTTATTATTATTATTATTTTTATTAATATATATTATTATTACTAAAAAAGTACTCGTACAATATAGCGAGATACATCTCAATTTTAATGTTTTTGTCTCAATCGATGTTATAATACGGTTTTATGTGGTTTTGAGAAAATAATAATGTTTTTAAGTTTTGGAAAAAATATAAATACGAAATATCATAAAAATGAAAAAAATATTGATATTAGTACGAAACTAATTATTAATTTTTTTATGTATTTCTTTATATTATTTTTTATTTTTGGTTTAATAATATAATTTTTTATGAAGATAATGATTAAGTATTTTGTTAGAACTCAATAATTATCCTAATTATATTTTAGATTTTTTATATTTAAAATGAGATGTTTATCCTCTATTTGATTATGTTTATCTGCAGTTAGTTATACGAATTCAAACATGAAACTTTAATAAGTTATACATATGCATAATTTACTTGTAATCTTCAATTTTAGGTAATATGTATCAATAAATAGTAATTCATGCATAAAAAGTGGTATTTAAATTTTTTTTATTAAATATTTTATAATATAGTATAGATTATTATATATTACATATAAAATAATTTCTTTTTCATTAATATATTATTATTATTATTATAATATATTACATATAAAATAATTTATTTTTTATTAATATATATTATTATTATTATTATATATTACATATAAAATATTTTTTTTTCATTTTCGAGAGCCAGGACCTTATGGTCAACTCAAAGGAATCTCATAAAATCGGGTTTAGATATTATGGTACAACTAAAAGGGTAATCCGATAGTGTATCGAAATACATTTTGATTTTAATATTTTGTTTTATTTTTTTTAATGTCGATATAATACGGTGTAATTTCCTTAATTCAAATTTTTTTATTTAATATGAGATATTTATTTATAATTTAATTTCTTTATTTTTTTGTGTTTTGGTGTAATTTCCTTAATTCAAATTTTTAATTATAATTTAATTTAGGTTTAGTAACAAAAAAAATTTAATTTAGGTTTAATAATATAATTTTTTATAAAAATAATAACTAAGTATTATGTTTAACTCAATGATTATCCTAATTATATTCTAGATTTTTTATATTTAATATGAGATGTTTATCTAATATTTGATTATGTTTATCTGCAATTAGTTACACGAATTCAAATATGAAGCTTTAATATGTTGTACTGCACAATTTACTTGTAATCTTAAATTTTAAGTAATATGCATCAATAAACAGTACTTCGTGCATAAAAATGGTTTTTAAAAGTTTTTGTCAAATGCTTTATAATATAGTATAGATATTTTTGTCATTATCATTTTACTTTTTTATTCTCATCTAGATATCTAACCCGTTATGCGAGTCGACTGATCATATGATGACCATCCACTTCACGAGTAGCCTAGAGTTATCGCATTTGAATCTCCGTGACCATAAGAGAATTTTTTATTTTTCCTTGAATTCGAACTTGACACCCCCAGATACTTTTGACCTTTGGAGCCTAAACTCAAACCAATTAAAGACCATCCTTATGATCATCATTATTATTGTGTAGACTTAAAAGAAAAGCAGGGACAACGCAATAAAAGTCAACATTTTCACAAAAAATAAAAGAAGAGAGCATCTCCATAAGATATGCTATATTTTCTCTCACTTTCTCGAAATTTGGAGATTTATTCATTTTTTCGTATTTATTTATTATTTTCATAAAAGAGTTTAACATACTTGTTAGAACAAACATTTTTCTTAAATTTCCAAAAATTTAAAACAACATCGTTGTTGAAGATTCTCAGACAAACTGAAAAGTTAAAATAATAAGAGGTTGTTTGTTTACTTCTTAATAGTTTCATTAAGAGACAGTCTCTGAATTGTTAAGGGGTGACTCTTGTTTGGCAAAAAAAAAAAAGTTTGGGTTCTAAAACCCTCTGAATAATTTTGTATCCTAAACCATTCAGCGCCTTAATTTCATTATAAACAATTATATTTTATTTTCCTATTAAATATATGAACCATTAATATATTAGATGTTAATATATATAAAAATTATATTACAAAAAATAATATTAAATTATATTAAAAAATAATATAAAAGAATGAAATTTAAATATAAAAGGAAAAAGGTAGCAACTTAGTTTTATTTCTATCGGAGATGCAGCAGAATTTGACTCAAATTCCTTCATCTCTCTTATTATATTTCAACTTATCGTAACCCTTTTCCAACTGCCGCTTCGAATCTCTCCTCTCCAATGGCGTCTGCTCTCAAGAAGGGAAACAAGATCAGCCAAATCGTCCGCCTCAAGCAGGTCATGCAACGATGGCGTCGCCGCTGCATCAACACTCATTCCTTCACCTCCGATTCCGATTCTGAAATCGACCGCCAACGACGTCGCATCCCGTCGCCTGGATCCCTTGCTGTCTACGTCGGCATTGAGAGACGCCGATTCGTCATTCCGACCAAGTTTCTGAATCTGCCGGTGTTTCGGTCGTTACTCAACAAAGCCGAGGAGGAGTTTGGATTCCAGAAAACCGGGGGATTAGTACTCCCTTGCGATGTGATTTTCTTCAAGAGGTTGTTGAAGGCTTTGGAGAGGAACGAGGGAGGATTCGGTTCGCTGGATTTAGACGATTTCACGGCGATGTTTGCCGATTTGACGGTCGATTCCGTTTCGTATTGTAAGGATGCTAACAATTCTAACTGCCATAGCTTCAGTCCTCTGTTACAGAAAACTAGGGTTTGAGCCGAAGGTGCGGCGTGTTAAATGCCTACCCGATCTTGTGCAATGTCACAGGTTCGTCTCCCGTCTCTTTTGTCAATTGGGAGTAGGCGTAGGGTTAGGTTTTTCAGTTTTGTGCATAGATGGTGGATTGATTGAATTCGGCCCCTTCTAGTTTTCTCCAATTTCCCATCCCAGCATCCTTGAACCCAAATCTATTGATGATGTTGATGTCTGATTAAAATTGGGTTTCAATGAGATGAAGTTATCCCAATTTTGGGGGATGCTAGGTTTTTCTTTTTCAGTAACAAAATCATGTGGGACGATGGTAGTAGTTGCGATTGATGATGATGATGATGATGAAATATTTTGTAGTTTGAATTGATGATGAAGTTATGTTCCCCTTGTTTGACTATGTTTGTTGCGTAGTTTGATGCTCGGCGTGATTCTAGCCTTCCTCCCTAATTCTGCCATTATTATTTACTTAGAAAACTGTGTACCTTGTTTAATGGCTAAACAAGCATAGTCATACCATTTACCCTTCAACAATCAACATTCAATTTACCTACTTTTCCAAAAATATTTTATTTCAATCTAAACATTAACGAGTAACTAGAAGGGTGGTGTCCGATTCGTTTTAAAGGTTAAAAATACCAGGTTCAAATCTAAAGAGAAATAAAAATTTATTTGTGACCATGGAGGTTCAAATGCGGTCACTCTAGGCTATCTGCAAAGCAGGTGGCCGCTGGATATCCAGGTTAATAAAAAAAGCATTATATGTTAATTTTTTAAATTATAAATAAATTCTGTAAACAATTTTTTTTAGAAAGTTGTAATGGTTTTTTCTTTCGTTTTCTTAATTATATTCTTGTACGTTACAATCAAGTCAATTTCAACGTATTTATTTAGATCGGGTAACTTCTAACGTATCGGTTAATTTTTTTTTCTAGAAAGATATAATATTACTTGATGATGTTATAGTTTTTTTTAATATCTTATGGATGTTTAGATTTTTGTATGGGATGACGTTATATACATCATTTTTTATATCAAAATCATGTTAAATCATGCATTGAAAATGTAATATTATAAGGGACTGTTTATCAAACGTTATTGGGTGGTTGTTAAGCATCTTAAACCTGATAAGTTTTTATCTGGTAATAGTTTTTTTTCCTTGCTTACCTGATAAAGCTCTCAGTTCTTGCTATGTCTTTTGGTAAGATTCTTGATTTTTGTCATATTTAATTGATATTGATGTATATGAGAATGAAATTAGTAAAGATAGGTGCGTATATAGTGATGTATTTAGCCAATCCCTTCGGAAAATTGTTGTAAACTTGACGTTTTAGATATATCTTGTTAATAAAATTTCAAGAAAACCAATCTTATTTGGTATTTGTGTAAATTAAATAGAATGAAATTAATTTTAAATGTAATAAATATTTGTAATATTGTTAATATAAAATATAATCGATTTTGTAAATATGGTATTTATTAATAGTATCCAATATTCTAAATTTGGAAGAATTATGATTACTATTTAATTATATTTTAAAAAGATTGTTATGACTTTGGTTATTTTGTAACTTATTTTCCATAATTTTAAAATTAGTTTCGTTCAGAAAAAAAAAAAAAAAAACAATTACGTCTTAATTTTCTTTCCCACCATAAAGTGTGATTTTGCTATTAAATATTTTAAAATATAAATAATTTTTATGATATTAACATGTATCTGGTAATAATTAACTCGACCTTTTTAATTATTATTAAACTTTAAAATCAACGTTTTTCTATGTATATTTAAAGAAAAACACACGTATTTAGTATATGAACCCAATCAGGTTGATAAAAACCCGACCACCAACCGTCTACATAGACATTAAAATATGTGTCTTTTTAATGTCATATAACTCAAAAGGTTGATTTTGAAAGTATATATTCGCGGTTTGAATATCGAGTTGAAATGATTATGAAGAATTTGTCATTTTATATACGTGGGTGCGTGCGCTCAATTGTTTTGCCGAAGCATAGGTGTCTCGTACACACATTAATGAAGTTAGAGTTGAATAATGAGTTTTACGAGCTCTTAGTTGAGCTTTAAAGCAATGTTTTTGAGTTAAGAACGAGTTCTATTCATGGCTGGTTCCAAGTTACTGGAGCTTGAATTTCATTTCAAAACAAAATATGCAAACTATTAAAACACATCGAGCTCAAGTACAATTATGAAAAAAAACGTTTTGACTTCAAAGTCGAGTATTTATTTTCAAACGAGCCCACAAATCATATTACTCGACTTGTTAACACCTCTATTTAAGGCCGTCGGGCCTAAGGGAAGGTGCATTATTCAAGGAAGACTGTCAACATAATTATGTGCATTGAATTGACTTCATGTAACGAGTGCAATTTAACCATTTGAACATGGTCTGTTTATCGTCATGCATATGAAATTCCTCCCCCCCCCCCCTGATCGTACTTTGGATGGTAGGTCAGTGAATAGGTATTTACATGTGAATACATGGAAATATTTCGATGCAACTCAGTTGATGTCTAACTTCCGTCTTTATTTGATGAAAAATTTAAGGTTTTACAATAAACATGAAGTAAATGCATTACGACAATGTTATACTTGTGTATGTGGGTGATGAAATACCAAACTGGTAACAAAGATAAAAATACTACAAGTTGGTGACGAAAAATAACCTAGAAGTTGGCGATGAATAGTTGAATATATTCGTAAAAACAAATCAGGTATTATAAATAAGCTGTAAAAATTAAAATGATGACTTATGGAAAGACGTAAACGACTACATCATGAAAGAAGTATTTCCATGTTACATTTTCGTTAATGAACGTTTAAGAAAATGTCATTATGGAGGTTATGTATTTAAATACCAACATATATCATATAATATATCTAGAGAAGTTCATATGTAACTATATAAGCATATAATATCATATTATCTATACTATCTGTAAGGGTGTCCGGGCCAAAGTCCGACTAATCCCCGATAATTTTGGAGGCTAAACATAGCCCCACTTAAATGTCGCCAACACTCCCCTCCCAGGGCTCGAACTCGGGTTCATGACTATGCCATGCCCAAGCCTTTACCACTAGGCTGGAAGGTCTTTGACATATTATCTATACTATATTATAAAACATTTGACAAAACTCTTAAAAACAATTTTTTATGTATAAAGTACTGTTTATTGATGCATATTACTTAAAATTTAAGATTACAAGTATAGTACGCATGAGTACATTATATTTAAACCTCCATATTTGAATTCGTGTAACCAACTACAGATAAACATAATAAAATACATGATAAATATCATTTTAAATATAAAAAATCTAAAAAATAAGTAAGATAATCATTGAATTTTAACATAATATTTAATTATTATTTTAGAAAAGCATTATTAACAAAAAATAAATTAGTTCGTTATTAAACTTCAATTAAATTATAATAAAAAATTAAATTAATAAAATTACATAAAAACGAGAACTTTTAATAGTTAATTTGATAATAATATCGATTATTTTTTTTCAAAATTTTATGATATCTTCAAATTTATATTTCATTCAAAAATAATAACATTTTCTTTTTCTCAGAACCACATAAAATCGCTTTATACATCGATAGACCCAAAATATAAAACGAAATATTAAAATCAAGATGTATCTCGCTGCATTCCACGAGTACGTTTCTAGTTCTATTAATTATTTTGATTTACAACAAATTATATTAAAGTAGAACTTTCATTAAACATTTATTCAAGAAAATCATTAATCTATACTATATTGTAAAGCACTTGGATAAAATTCTTAAAAATCATTTTTAATGCATCATATGCTGTTTAATGATATATATTACTTAAAATTCAAGATAAAGTAAATGATCCATAAATACAACTTTTTAAAGTTATATGTTTGAATTCATATACCTAACCGATGAATATAATCAAATACAAATTTTTAAATATAAATAATGTAAAATATAATTAGGATAATTATTAAGTAATGCTTGATTATTATCTTTATAAAAAATTATATAACTAGATCTAATTTTTTTTTGTTATACTTAAATTAAGTTATAATAAAAAAATATATTATTAGACCTAAATTAAATTATACTAAAAAATTGAACTAAAAGTTATACAAAAGATGGTAGAAATTTTTGTCTTTAAATTTATATTTTATTTAAATATAAAAACATTATTATTTTCTCAGAATTATACAAAATTATATTACAAAATAAAACATTAAAATTGAAATGTATCTTGTCGTATCGAGCAAATATGTTTTTAGTTCTTTTAAAATAGAGTCGTTGAACATTTATTCTGGTTTTTAAAATAACAAATTTGAATTATTTTTCTTTTTTCAAAATTAAAATTTTAATCAGTAGTTTTTAAAATATAAAAACATCTTGAATAGTTATATTATATTCCTTCTTTTTAAATTTAAATCTTTTATATCCTTTTTCCTATTTTTTATTTAAAAACAGGTTTAAGGAAACAAACTTTTCCAAAATCTTAAAATATTTAAAACAGCAACACTGAGATGATCCAAAGAGTTAAAAAGAAAAAAAAGGAAATTTATTAAAACAATTATTTTTTAAGGTTGGTTTTTTTATTAATCTGGATATTCAACCTGTTATACGAGCCGATTAATCCTAGAACGACCATATGTTTTGCAAATAGCCCAAAGTCACCGCATTTGAACCTCCGTGACCACAAAGGGGATTTTTATTCCTCCTTAAATTTGAATCTGGGACCTCCTGATATATTTGACCTTCTAATAATTTTTCTTTTTAAATTTATCAAAATAATCATAGGTCTGTAAAACCGACGTCTGCAATTACAGACCTAGCTAAAAGACAAATTTTTTTTACACTTTTTACTCCTATCCGTAAAAAAATTACATTTTTCATACAGATCCGTAAAATTTTTTATCCAAGTTTGTAATAAAAAAATTATATTTTTCATCCGGATTCACAATTTTTTTTATATAATTATAGACCTAAAACTATTTTGATAAATCTCGTAAAAAAAAAATAACTAAAAAATGAAATTAATTGGTAAAAATAATTATTTTAATTAATTTTTGAAAAAGGAATTAACCGAAAAGTATGAGGATAGGGTTTTAATGAATACTAAAAGAAAGTAAAGAAATAAAAGTACAAACCCCAACCCCACATTCATGCTCACTTCAGGCATCTCTCCTGCCAAAACCTGCAACGACTCCAATCTTCGAGCATCTATGGATGCTTCTTCGATGGAAAAACTACTTCCATGTGCCTCATACTCTTCGATTCACACACCGAAACTCACTTCTACGCACAATTTTGAATTCCTAAACCCCAAGGTACAAATCAAATGGCCAACCCGGAGGAATCACAATGCCTTGGTGGTTAATGCAAGCGATGGAGGTGTAGGAGGAGAAGTGGATACGGCCGTGGTGGAAAAGGAGAAGCCGAAAGCATTGCCGCCTCGGTTTCAGGTGTTACAGGGTTCTCCGACGCCGTTTGGTGCCACAGCGAAAAAAGATGGGGTCAATTTTGCAATATATTCACGCAATGCCACATCTGCGACTCTATGCTTGATGACTCCCTCTGATTTGCCTGAGGTATATGTTTACCTTTTCTGTTTGTTTTTACTTCATCTTTTTTTGCATTATTTTGTTTTCGGTGTATGTACACACTGACATGAGTATGTTCACACTGACATGAGTATGTTCATAAGATTGGGATGCTTCACCAACACAAGTGTAATTATGTAAAAGAGACATTTTAATGCACCACCTGTCACTATCTATAATCGATCCTGAATACTACGTGTATAAGGAAAAAGAACATTGCAACCGCTAGATAGAATAAATCTAGTGCTTTCGCAAAAAAAAAAAAGTATTTTCATCAAATCGGATTCATTAGTATCTGTTTTTATATTCATTATTACCCCTTCATTTAATTTCTTAAACATTTTGATTTAAAACATTTAAGTTATTGTCTTGTGATTTTTGTGAAAACCCCCCTTTTCCATTGGCTGTGGCCGAATTCTCAAATCAGCCATTACATATTTGCATCAAATGCCCCATCATAGCTTAAGATATTACCAATGTACCCGCCAACTGGATAAACAGATCAGTTAAGTATCTGTTTTGTCCAACATGATATTGGTGTCGGCAAAATATAGATGACTTGGAACATTTTAAAATCTATCGGGTGTATAGTTGTGATCATCTTTCTTCTCTTTTGACACTACAGGGACTATAATCAGTCTTATAAAATCTTCAGTGCAGCATTAAACATTGTTTGGTTATCTTGCAACAATTGATCAAGTGATATGAGTATATACTGAATCCTTGAGATCTCAACATGGAAATAAACTCATGTCAAATTGTGTTTTAATCTTCCTTCTCTTTTTAGTAGCAAAGAAAGCATGGTAAAATTCACACAATTCACATTATTTTTCCAAGCAGATAGATACCTTGGAATTTTAACTGCATGGGTGAAAGATCTAATTTCTGAAATATTTATAAACTGGCTCTTACCTGGGCTAAATGAACCATCAAGAGCCAACTTGTATTTCAAATATGGGAAGTAAAACTTTTCAAAAAAAGATCCCTGACACAACTACATGAGCCTAAAGCATTTGTCTGACACGTCATCGTTTGGCTATATGTGGGGCCTATAGCCATTCTGGAGATTGAATAAACCTTTATTTGTTCAATTTCCAAAGAGAGATATTGTAGCTACTAGTTCTTCATAAAGAAAAGGATATTAAAGCTAGCAGTCCACTCTAGAAAACATGCACCACTCATTCGCATGTGGTACTCCCCCTGAACTTGCACTTTTACATGCTGTATTCATATAATAGAAGATTCAACTCTTTGTAAATCTTAAAGCATGAGTAACCACACCATGGGCCATGGCTTGCTGAATCTACATTCGGCATCGAGTTTGCCTGGAAGAAGAATGTAAATTTGACATATGAAGTTTCAAGGTTGCTATGCTTTTTGCCTATTTATATTGCCATGATTATAGTTCTTGCGTTTTTAAAGGGATGAAGACAGTGACCCTAAACCTCTAAATACCTAAATTAGCATGTGATCAATTTTTAAAAATCGAGTTGCCCACATCATCAAGATTTTGCTAATGGGATGCCACATTGCTATATTTTACATGCTTAGACCAGTGGTACATGGATGGATATCTAAATTTTGATGCCACATTGATGCGGTTTTTTTAATTAACGAGTAATTTGAGTATTTGACCATAGTTGAATAGGAAACAAAGGTGGTTTATCTAATTATGCATTTGTAGAAGTACAACTTATCATTTGTAATTATTAGAATACTTAATATACAAAATATGTACATATGAATAGATCTTATAATCTGCAAGTATATATTTTAGGATATTTATTTTAGATTATCTACTTTGTAACTATAAACAAACGATCCTTGTCAACTTTGCAGTTAAATTACTGTGTTGGAATCTTGGTGCATATTGTATATAATAAGTTATTATTAGTTCATAGGCGTGATTGTTTCTATGATTCTCACTTGATGCAGAAAAGAGTTACTGAGCAGATACCTCTGGATCAACTTACCAATAAGACTGGAGATGTCTGGCATGTGTTTCTGAAAGGAGATTTTACAGACATGCTATATGGCTACAAATTTTCTGGAGAGTTTTGTCTTGAGGAAGGACACTACTATGATTCTTCTCAGATCTTATTAGATCCTTATGCTAAAGTTGGTAGCCTCTTTCATCTATTATGTTCGAATTTTTATAGTTACTCAAATTGTTTAGATACAATATTCTCTTCCCTTTATCCTGATTGTGCTTGCACCTTGGGACTTGCACACATGCTCAATTTCAATATACCTTCTTAAAAAGTGATAGGCGTTGACCTTCTTGGTGCTTATTCAGGCTGTTGTAAGCAGGGGGGAGTTTGGTGTTTTAGGACCTGATGATGATTGCTGGAGCCAAATGGCATGCAAAATTCCTACCATTCATGAGGTACTATCATTCTTGATCATTTCAATTTCTCAAGAACATATGAATGTCAAAGTTTCCTATATGCTGCTCATAATTGAATGTCAAGTCTCCTAAATAATATGCACATCTTGCTAGTGACATTATGTATGGCTATCCACCCTAAGATAGCAATCTTATAATGATGTCATTTCATTTCGTATTTACTATGCGTGCCCTAATAAATGATGTCATTTCATATGGTATTTACTATTTAGTATGCGTGCCCTAATAAATGATTCATTAATCACAAACCTATATGGTAAGCGTGCCCTAATATATTCTCTAATCTATTGAATCGATGGAATTGAGTAAGATATGAGAACAAGTTCAATGAATGATCCACTCTACCAATGACACTCTTATTTTTGTTGTATATTTTATTTCCTTTTACCCTGGTCCAAGTCTTCCCACTCAATTGAGTGACACTTCCTTCCAACATATTCTTTCCTTTTTTTCTCTTTTTTTATCTCTCATCTCTCATAACTTGTTACTTTATTATCTCTCTTTACTCTCGTTGGTTGCAATTACTTTTCATGTTTTCTTGCTTTATCATCTTGCATGTCATTGTTTCAATTTTGTATCATCACTTACTTATAATGGGAATATTTGAAAGACAAATAGTTTAACCAGGCTATGTGATGTAGGACGGGAAATTGAATGGAAGGTTTTGGGGGAAACTATGGAATCCACTAGGGATTTGCAACATAAAGGCTTCGCTCCAGAAGTTAATTCAGTCAATAAAAGTAATGAATTTGATCAGAAACAACATACCATTTATCCATCCCATTTATTGCGAATGACAATTCTATTTATAATTAAACAGAACCCTAACACTACATGGACGGCAGGAAATACCCAGAAGGCCAAAATGCTGTCAATGAAGAAATACTTGGTTCTAAATGAAATCCCAAGTACTAAATAAAAGCTAATATCAAAATATTCTACCCAGTTAAACACTAGGTAAAGTAAAATAACATCTTGAAATTACTATTTACGCTAATCTCAATATCTCGTCATCATGGTAGGACATAAAGGTAAAGTATAATTTTAAAGAGGAAAGTGGAGAAATATAATTGGACAGGGGTTACTTTTTGTATTTCTTCAGTAGATTTGAGAATCAAAAGTTACATCACTTGATTATTTAAAATAATTGGCATCAACATGTTTAATCTTATTGGCACATTTTATTTGTTTATAGAAAACAGGGGATAAATGTTATTTTTCTTGATTCATCACATTCCACATCATACCACTTCTTGCTGCTGGCTTGTACTCATTATATGTTCAATATGAATGTTTGATTTAGTTTGACTGGGAAGGAGATCTACCTCTTGCATTCCCACAAAGAGATCTGGTAATTTATGAAATGCATGTTCGTGGATTTACAAGGCACGAGTCCAGCCAGACAGGATCTCCTGGCACTTACCTTGGTGTAGTAGACAAACTTGATCATTTGAAGGTACATGTAGAATATACTTTACCTTCTATTGTTTCATTCTGACCTTCGAGTTGGTATCTTAAAGCACTGACAGGGGAATCCTAATCTATGATTCTGTGTGACATAATGGGCTTAATTTTCCCAAGATACAGTATATAACACGACAATGATATGTTAATTGAATTTCCTTTTGATGCGTATAACTTGTTTCTATCTGTATACACAGTTACACACTAATATCTGTTACCCCCTTCCTGTGTATGTATGCATGTGTGTTTGTACTGCTGTTGCATGCATTAAATGGAAATCATATTCATTGCTAACTTTAACAAGCATCAAGCATACATAGTGTTTTTGCGGCAACTTGATTAATCTACTTAGGTGCCGTTTACCAAACGCTTACCCGAGTAAGCGCTTACCAAGCCACTATACTTTACCGGATGAATATGGCAAGGACTAAAAATCTTACCCGGTAAGAGTGAAGACAAGAATCGAGAGTCTTACCTGGTAAGTGAGGACGAGGACTCTTACCATGGTTAGCGCTTACCGGGATAAATTGTTGCATACGATGCGTTTTAGTGAACAAAATCTTACCCGGTAAGTACACAATTGTGTTGAATTTTATCGGTAAGTGCTTACCGGGTAAGTGTTTAGGTAAACGGCCCCTTAGTATTTTTGTAGGTAGCGTTCTCAAAAATAAAATAAAATGGAAAGCACCAACTGCAAAACACAATTAACTTAGCAGGAGTGAAAGATAGGTACTCAACTCATATGTTACAAAGGTTCTTTTAACATCAAAACCAACTTTCTTTATAATTTGCCTGTGAAACTTTTACTTTTCAACCTTTATTGTTAATATGATAGGAGTGTGTGGATTGTCACTGTCCATGTCATTTAGTAGGGTTTTGCCTGTTTATGTTTTCTTTTAGTTTCTTTGGGTTCATTTTTTAGCCTACTCCAATTGGTTTGAAACAAAAGACTTGTTCTAAACTAGGAACAGATCACCAACTAAATATAGTAAATTAGGAAAGCTAACATCCGCACACCAGATTAAATGTCCATGTTATTAATTTAGTAATTTCTTTTCCCTTTTTTTCTTTCTTGTTCTTTTTTTTTCCTTTAATAGGAACGACATTATGAATGCTATAGCTGATGTATTGGGATCTTTGATGATTTTTCTTGCAATGGTTCTTGCATTGCGGGGTACTGTTATTTAGCTTCCTTTCATATTGAGCAACATGAATGGTCTATACTGCATATGTTTTTGTTAAAACTATTATTTCTGGTATAGGAACTTGGTGTGAACTGCATAGAGTTGATGCCTTGCCATGAGTTCAATGAGCTGGAGTACTTCAGCTACAATCCTGTCTTGGGTGACTATAGGTACTCAAATCCTCCTTTCGGAGAAACTTTTTTATGTTAATGCAGGTGAATTGCACATACCCTTCAACTGTTGAGGGTTGATTGTGGTTACATGGGAGTAAGCGCAGAAAGTTGATTACAGTATCATATACTTATGAAATCTAGGCCTGGCAAAATAAATGGCTATGGAGTGTCAACACAAGAACTAAAGTGAACAATTCCTTGATATTATTAATAAATATGGACCAAGAATGGAGTTAAAATATTACTTTCTGTTGGTTTTCAAAATTTCGAATTAATTTTGAATCAGGGAATGTAAAATTTTAAAGACAGGAGTTTTTTATTTTTCTTCCATGAGAAAAGTCCATGTGGTCTATGATCATAAATAAAGGGCACAAATCATCCAGATCAATTAATATTTTTTACCCATGACAGTCCCCAAATGGCCCTCTTCATATTTGAGAAGGGTTACGAAGGTTTGTAAGAGTTGGAGTAAATATTTCGAGTATGTTTGGCAAGTTGACCAACTTTGCAATGGAACATTTTATTGATGAATAAATGAGGGGATAGTTTTCCGAGATAACCAAAATTTACATGTCCAAGGCAAGAATGCCATAACATAACAAGATTTTCATTATAGTTAGAGACGAGATCAAAAGGGAAATTTTAGTTGGAATGGAGAACAAAACCTTATGTCGTTATTTTTGAACTTGTTTACTTGTAGGAGAGTCCTTGAGAATCTAGAGTCGGCATGCATTTTAGCACCGACAATCACCTTCTCTGAACTCACTACCTGAATTCCACAAAGATTTGGATGGAATTTACACCCACATTTTGGATGTCTAGTGAGTTTGCTGATTGAGGGTCGGTTGCAATTTCATTTAGGAACAAAGAGAACATATGAAAAGAGAAGATCGTCTCATAGCTTTATGGACCCTTTTCCTATCACTTTGAAGAGGGAACCATCTTTAATTCTGACCGTGTAAGGAATTAGCACATGGTATGAAGGTGTTGAAGACTTGTAAATCACCAGTCATGTGGTTGGATGCCCCTAAATCCACTATCCATGGACCGGTGCAGTTGGAGGTTGTAGCAAATGCATGAGATGTAGTATCTTGATGATTCATGACACTGCCATTTTCCTTGGCTGAAGACAAGCTTGGCTGCTTTTTAATCTGATCAAATAGTTTATAAGTGCATCAATATGATTCTTCGTAAAATCGCTGACTTCATTGACGCTCCTTCAATATTGGTAACCATGTGTACGTATGCTTGATCAACTCGGCTTCTAGCTTTCCAATCGACATGCGTTGGGTTTTTAGCAAGTTTCACGATAATGACCAGGTAGTTTGTAGTGTTCACATCTTGGTCTTCCCATTCAAGATTTGGTGTCTAAAGAGGATGAGTGATTGAGCATAGAAGATCCATCTGAGTGTGATATATAGTTCGGCACCATCAACCTCTTAGGTTTTCTGAGGGTTTAACAGAAAACCTTTTGATTGGAGGGAGGGGTTTGAGATTCATGATTCTGCTTCTGACTTGATCAAGCTCGTTTTTCTCTCAATGAGTTCTTTGTAGAGACCAACATCATTTGGACACTTCTAAGGATATACCTAAAACATATCAAGATGTTGCCAATACCTTGGTGAGTGTTTAGTAGTATTGCGTAATATTTGAGTTTCCTTGCTTGGGTTCGAATAGTTTAGCTTATGTTTCAAAGAGTTGTGAAGTGTTTGCAGAACTTGAGTTGGTCACTGTCGGCATTCTAAATTTCTTGGCCAATTTGATAAAGAAGAAAATTTTCTCCAACTAGTGGAGAGCATGAAGTGGATTAGCCATGACACCACCAATCTCTAAGACATAAATGAGGACGGATTGATATAATTGAAGGTAGTTTTTATGTGTCCGCTGAATTTGTGACAAGTGATTGGGACAGGAGAATCATCAATAACTTGGGAAGAATTTGTGAGAGGAGGAGGGGTCGACTAATCTGTATTCCTGAGGAAGAAGAATCCACGAGAGTATTCATTGATGATTGGATGATGGCTTGGAAAGTGTGGCAGCAAGGAAAGCTAGGTTTCAGAGGTTAGCTCTGATACCATATAGAAGTTTGTTACTGAAATTTTCTCTGCATTATACAAATTTATGGCGAAAATATATATACAAGGGAAAGCAGATCTGCTCCTTATTCTGTGGAAACCAAATATCTGAAACTAGGAAATTATTTGTGAGATTCTGTTGTGAAACAGAATTATAGAAATTAAGAAAGAATATGCAAAATATCTAATTTAGCATGGAAAGAAAATGCTTTACACTATTTTTTACATCATGATATTCTACAAGTAATAGCAAAATAGAGGAATCTTGTGGACCAATATCAGTGCTATCAGTATTTTTTTTTTGGTTAACCTGGATATCCAACCCGCTATGTGAGCCGACTAATCCTAGGGCGACCACCTGCTTTGCAGATAGGCCTCACCGCATTTGAACCTCCGTGGCCACAAGGGGATTTTTATTCCTCCTTGGATTTGAACCTGCTATCAGTATTTTAAAATGATTACGAATGGACAAAGTTGTAATTTAGATCAAAACTTTGTCAAAAAGAGAGATGTTGCATCTAGTTATGGATATCCAGAAAAAGAAATTATTGCAGTTAATTTGGGATGGAGGGAGTATATGACATCTCTTATGTTTCCAATAGTGAATTTAGTTGATCGTATTCATGTTGCAAGTTGCTTCGATGAGTAAATCTTTGTTTTAAAGTACTAGTACATCATATGGATTATCAATCTCTTCTCCAGGTTAAATTATTGGGGGTATTCGACTATCAACTATTTTTCACCAATGTCGAGATATGCATCTGCTGGTGCTAGTAATTGTGGCCTTGATGCAATAAATGAGTTCAAACAGCTTATTAAAGAGGCACACAAACGTGGAATCGAGGTGACAACTTGTCTCACAGGTTTATTTGCTTTCTTTAAGTTTTACGAGTTGCCATCTAATTCAGATTTTTACAGGTACTCATGGATGTGGTTTTCAATCACACTGCTGAAGGGAATGAGAATGGTCCCATATTGTCTTTTCGAGGTGTTGATAACAGCGTCTTTTATATGCTTGCACCTAAGGTATAGCAGCATTACTGTATTTCTTTTTACTTGTGAAGTTGAAGGAATATGAATTGTCATTTTGCTTCTTTAAGGTATTGATGATGTCTTTTATATGCTTGCACCTAAGGTTTAGCTGCAAAGGCTTTCATACCTTTCTTATAGAACTTATTTGCAAGTTGGGTACACTGTTTATATTTGAACTCCCACTTACTCGATGTCTCCTAAGATTTCCTATGTCATGTTTGGTTTGTAGTAATGTAATGGACTAATATGATGGATTGAGAAAAATGTGTTTTATATTTTCCGTTTTCAGATGGAATGGAATGAAGCATTCCCCAAGGAATGTGATTCCTTCCATTTGGTTGATTTTTGTTCCTAGGGGAAGGACTGTTTTTTGTCGATTTCATCATGCAATGTAATGAAAATTTACAATGTTACCTGTTCTTTCTTTTTTTATAATCTTCAATTAATACCAATCTTTCCAAAAATAACTAGAAAATATATATTTTTCCTTCTAATCTTATTTGAGAGTTTCTTTAAATTTTTATTCTTGTAAATAAAATTGTCAATAATTTTTATAAATTTTTTTAACAACTAGAAGTAAAAAATTACACATGTATTTACATATAGTGTACACAATTGTTATGAAGATCACTATTTATCGGAAGACTGGAACAATGGAAATGAAATAATCAGATTTACAGAATACGTTTTGTAATCTTTTTTCATGATTGTTAAAACTTAATTTTAAAGAAACTTTAAATGTTGAATGAATATTTGTTAAGTATCTGAAATATATTTCAATGAACACATAATACTTTTAAATGCAACTTATTTAATAATATATCTCAGTTTGAATTAAAAATATTTATACTAAAGGACATTTTTGTCCTTGTTTACCAGTTTATTTCAATTCAGATGTCTATTCATTGATACCAAACAAAATAAATCACCCATTCCATTTCTACAAGCCAACCAAAAATGATAATGGAATGTAATGGTTCGTTACTTCATTTCATTACCTTGTCCATTTCTTTCCTTTGTCATTTCATTTCATCAACCAACCAAACCCATAGAAGCTAACAATACGGCTATATACGTGAACCACACCAATATGGAATTATAATTAACTTGTTGATGGCTTAGATATGAGAATAATGACTATCTTAGTCAAACATATTTCAAACTCCTAAGAGTTGGCACATAATGGATATGTGGATTTAATTAGTACTCATTGGAATTGACATAAATCCCCCCCGCCCTGCCTCCCCAAACGAGAAGGAAGAAAATAAAACAGCCACTTGAAGCTGCATTATATTTGATAACTGAATTAAAATCAGCTTTTGATCTATATAACAGCAGATGCCAATTTTTGCCTTTTGTATAGATACTCTTATTTGAGGTGGATTTGTGGGTGGTAACCTAGGTATAATTAATTACCAATCCAAAGCAAGTATCAAAAAGATGTGGAATCTAGCATCTGTTTCTGTCCATGGAACTGTATATTTTTTATCCACAAGGATATATAATGAGCTTGAGGCGAATTTTATACATGGTTTTGCAGGGGGAGTTTTACAACTATTCAGGTTGTGGAAACACCTTCAATTGCAACCATCCTGTCGTACGCCAATTCATAGTAGATTCCTTGAGGTAGATAAGATACTACTTACATGAACCCCTACATGTTTTTGTGTGTAGGCTTGGGAAGGTGTGGTTTGTTGAGTGTGCTTGCATGTGCACCATATATCTATAACATGATTTATGGTTTTAGTTTTGAAGTTATGTTGATGAGACAAAAAGAAGGGTATCTCTGCACATTATTGGTAGCGTGGCATGTACAATGAGAAAATTTCTCTATTAGTAGTAACAAGTAAATTTTGTAGAAAGTTCTCTTTTTATATTTGGAGGATAATGAGTGAAGTTTTGCACTATTCTATTTTTCATTAGAATTTCGGTTCTTTAATCTTTATAGTTTCTATGAGAAAAAGAGCCACATTTTTTTCTGTTTTTTTTTTTGTTTTTGTTTTGAATTATATCCTACACCAATAGTTTGCCATCAAGGACTGGTTCTTCTTTTGGAACTAATACATATGCATTTTGATTCTCAATTGAGTAAGTATATGTTTTATGAAACCTTCCTACAGATATTGGGTAACGGAGATGCATGTCGATGGATTTCGGTTTGATCTTGCTTCTATCCTGACAAGAGGCAGCAGGTTATTTGGTCTACTGCACACCTGATTCTTATATTGCTGACATTACAAAACACCACCATTCATTTGCTCTTATTATATGCAATCTGGTTTCAGCCTCTGGGATGCAGCAAATGTATATGGGAATCAATTAGAAGATGATTTGCTGACAACTGGATCACCTCTCAGCAGCCCACCATTGGTTGACATGATTAGCAATGACCCAATACTTCGAGGAGTGAAGGTAATTTGTGTGGATGCACCACCAGTTATAAACTGTGTGTCATGATTCAGGTGCCTTTTATATCGAAGTATTTGAAATAGTTAGAACAAATGCTTCCCCCCATGAATAATCTGCTGGTAGTTCAACTTATTCATTTAAGCTACAAGTTGAGCCGTTCTTTTATTGCTTGTGACTTGTGAGTACAAACGTTTATTGGTGATCATTCTTATCTTATTAAGACTTTAACAACTTTAGTTTCTTGTTGAACCGGCCTTTCTGCATGCCCATTAATTTATGCTTATGCTAGTGCTATAAAATTTCTTTTGACAGCCTGTTAATTATATCATGAACCAATTATGCTCGTTATTTCATGACATTTCCAACAGCTAATAGCTGAAGCATGGGATTGTGGAGGCCTTTACCAAGTTGGCATCTTTCCTCATTGGGGCATTTGGTCGGAATGGAATGGAAAGGTCTGTTCACATGCTTTGTTTTTTATATTTATTATACTCTCTGGTAGCTTTGTCATTTAGAATAGAATGCAGAAATATACAAGGCAACAGAAACATTTTGTATTAGATATTTCCATTAGCCATTGTATCTTTACTAATTTCTTAAAATAGTGGCAAACCTTGATAATTGAGGTCAGACTCATAATTGTAAGCTTTTGTTTATTCTAAAAGATAATCGAGGTCAGACTCATAATTGTAAGCTTTTGTTTATTCTAAAAGATAATCGAGGTCAGAATCATAATTTTGTTTGCACGGAAACCACACAGGCCTCTTCTTTTGTATTTTATACTAGTTAAATGTTGTGGTATTCCCTTTGTGAATTTGTATTTGTTGATTTGCATCAATTATGATGGCTACTGTTAGTCTAAACTATGAATACCTGAAGTAAGTTGAATTTTTGGCACTGGAATATTGTGGCACATTGTGCCTGATCATTTAAAAACTTTTACTTAGAATGGTTTTTAAGAATTCTTGAGCCTGCTAATTCTCTAAGGAAGGTATGGCTGGCTTGGCTTTTACTCCTTGAAGCTTTTTTGAGGGAGGAGTCAAAGGCAGATGCTTAAGCTTATTACTTAAAAGTTGCATGATTGATACTATACGAGGTTCCTTCTGACAAAAATAAATAAATTGAGAAGCCATTGGTCTTCACGGAAACAGCCTCTCTATCTCTATGGGTAGAGGTATGGTATATGTGCATCCTACCCTCCCCAGACCCTATGGTGGAACATAGTGGGTACATTTGGTTTGGTTTGGGAAAATGGAGGCAGTTGACAGGCAGTTTCCCACACGAGTTTTAGTATCTTCTTAATCTGGAATGCCATAACTACTTTGCAGTCTGGTCAACTTCAAGAATTTGATCTAGGCTAATAGGATGAAATGAAGATCAAATTGTGGCCTCCAAAACTAATATCAGCTGTGAAAATCAGATAGAAAGAATAGAGAGAAATTGAAAGATGGTATGTTTCCTAGTATTTATTAATAATCACATCTGTGCCATATTATCATATCTATGGGCACTATTCTCTCCATAACAGTCTCTTGTATCGCCAATGTTAGGTATCAGGTGATAACAGAAATAGAACAGATTCTCCTCAACCTTCTTCTGGGCTTCTGGCATGCTGGGCTGTCAAGTTTTTTAAGAGGCTTGGACCATATGCTAGATAATACGGCAGATATTATCTTTTAAATCTTGAGCTGGGTTATGTATGAATCAGTTGGTCCCTGTTCTTGCAATGCATATGCAACATTGCCCTCCCCATCCTGAGACAAGGACCTCAATGATCAAATGATGGATGCAGTTTCTCCATTAACTTAGCTAATTCCCATAGTTTCTTCTGCATGATTATTTTTCCATTTGACAAGCCACTAAATCTTGGCATGGTTCTATTTTTCACCATTCTAGTGAGGGTCTCGGGTTCTATGTGAGGCGTTCATGTGTGAAGCTGGTAGTTCAGAAGAGAGCGTCAGGGGACCATGATGTTTAGAAGGGAGACATGGGATGTTGGGTGAATGGAAGCACTAGGAGGTAATTACAACTTGTATTCAACTTGCCACTGTAGCTGTTATAGGGTAGGTTTCATAATACTTTGCTGACAGCTTTTAGTTGGCTTTGAATTCCATTGAGGATTGTAAGGCTGTAATTTGAGGTATACCAGATTGCCATTCTCAAATTCCCTTGTGGATCTATGCTTATCTGGCAACTATTTTGGGATTTAAGCAAGTTTTGCTTCAGCAACTGAACTGTGTTCTCTCTGGCTGTAATACTCCTATCAACCGAGTCAACCTTTCCTTCACCAGGTGAATAAAGCATATGAATAGGTGGGTCCCTGGCCATAGGCTATCTCATAAGGAGCATATCTAATGGCTGTATGATACTATGTGTTATACCAGAACTCTGGCAAAGGAAGCTGTTTGCGTCCATCTGTAGCTTTGGAGGAAGACATTACGCAGCCATCTAAGCATCCATTGAGATAAGAAGAAAATGTGATTGGAGGCGTTATTTTTGTGAACCATTATATCAACTGTTAGGTAGCGTTTGGGACCTGCTAGACATGACTGAACAAGACTGGACAGGTTGTCTGTCTAGTGTTTAGCACCTTGGTTTAAAAATGCGCGCATTATGCGTTGTGATAATGCGCGATGTGTGTGATGCGCTGAAGAAAACGCATCAAAGGGTCTGATGCGTTGCGATTCCATGATGCGATCGCATCATCTACGCATCTCACGATGCGTGCATCACTTATGCATCAGCGCATCATGTATGTTGCATTTTTGGGCTCCCTTTTTCAGTTTTTAGTTGGGCTTCTTAGTTAAGTAAAATAGAACTCGAGACTGTTAGCGACCTAATAGAAGAAGCCAACAGTGAAGAAGTAGAAGTAGCACTGTGAGAGACCTAGCATCGCATATCAATTAAAACGCGACGTGAGTTGTTGTCGATACTCGACAACCAGCAAAGAAGTAGACAACGAACTCGCATCGCATGTTGAAGAAGTAGAAGTAGAAGTAGAAGCAGCAGCAGTAGTCGATAGTCGACAACCAGCAAAAGATCGACAGCCAACAAATAGAAGAAGAAGAAGCTCGACAGAGTAGTAGTTTGTGTAATCTGTACTTCTGTTATTCCGATTCACGAACTTTTTAAGATTCTAATGCTACTTTTTTAACTACTTTATGTTATAAATGAAGTATTTTGATAGGTAAGTATTTTTAAGGTAAAAATTGATATGTAGAATTAATTTATAAATATTTTTTGAATACC